TCTCTTGTTTTATTCTCTCCGGATTCACTACATGGTCCAGACTATTTGTATGCCCGACAATCACCGAGTCTTACCCCTTCTACCTTGTGCACCTCTCCCCGCTCCCCGAGGCTTCATCTGAGTGCAGCGCTAACCTGTCCTGTCCCTGGGTCCTGGTCACGCTCTCTTCTGACACTGGGAAGAGGCCTCAGTGTGCCCATCCTCACCCTCATGGTTGGCAGATAGTAGGTGCTTACACGCTTGGTGCATGAATGAGTATTTAACATTGATGAAGAAGAGGGAATGTGAGAAGAGGCCAAAGACATGAACCTCCTTATATTTCTCCCTTGTGTTCGCCCATGACACATACTTCTAGCTGATCTTAAAAAGGCGTGTTTGGGCTATAGAAAAGTAAAACTACTTACAGCAGTATTCAAAAGCTGTGAACTATAACCAATTTTCTAGTAAATAATAATAAAGCATGCAGACCATAAAATATGCCTACGTTTTCAGCATAGATCAATTCCATGGTTTGTGATCACTGGACCCTAACATTAAAAATTAGAGGACATGTTAATAGGAGGTGAGCATTCTTTTCTGTTACTTCTCTCTCCAGATGCCTCTCCCTTTCTGCATCTGAAATACTGAGCTGGAGAAGGACATTTGGGCGATAACTGATTAAATTATTTCAGTGGTCTGACTGAGCTACAGTGTCTCCACCCAGAATGTTCCTGTTCTCTTCCTGTGCCTTGCTCAACTCCATAGATTCAACTCATATCTGACCTCCAGTACCCCACAAGATCCTGCTACCTCATCTTTATGCATCACTCCGGTAGAAACAGTCTCTGTCTGTTCCAGCCCTTTTCTCTGTTCATTGTAACCGTTCTTGTCAAGTGATTTTCTATGTATATTTTTAGTATGTAGGTAATAACAGGAACTTCCCTTGAGGTGGTGGAAGACATAATTGCCCGTCTTACACTGCTGTTAATTACTGTCCTCTTGTGGAGGTCACTGTACCCTCCAGACCCCCGGCACTGCGACCCTCAGTGAAACGTGAATTGAGTAGCACCTAGGTTTGGAAGCCTCGGAACCACTGCAACTGCCTCTTGGCTTAGAGGTTTTCTTCTTCTCTAGTTCACCTTGGGTTGAAAGGGCCAAGATTTGGCTGAAAGTTTGTCTGGCGGAGGCTTTTACTATAAGTCTCTTGCTATACCGTGCCATTTGCGGGGAATAAGACACTCTGAAACTTTTTCAGCAGTCTGCAGCTGTTATAAAAGTAGCTCTACCATGGTTTCATTTTAAAGATAGATGTCAGTGTACCTGTCAAGGAAGAAAGAATTTTGTGCAGAAAATTAGCTGATGCCCAAATCTTGTAAATTAGCATATGATAAAGTACATCAATTTATTCATAGAATAATAGACCCAAGAACCCGGTCCTACTAGAGTGGCTGTTCTCTTACTTAGCAAGGGCTTATGATACCCTGTCACCTCATTAAACAAGAGTCTCGTCTGACACATCTGTGAGAAGATGAACTTCACTTACCAACCCAGTTCCGCTGTTTGCTAGTTCTGCATTTCTGAACGAGATCATTCGCTTCTCCAAGCCCGTTTCCACCTGTAAAATGGGAATATACTCATAGTACTACTATGAAAATGTTGAGGTAACTAAAGAAGATAATGCATATAATGTTATTAGCACAATACTTGGCATTATTATCCATGATTTTACTATGACATTTTGTGGCAGTTACATAATCTCCTGTCAACTTGCGAAGGGATGGAGTCTAGCCTGTCAATCAGGTCGCAGCTTGATGATCTCATTTGTAGGTGCGACAGAAATAAATAGGTCACTGGAGGCCAGATACACACACTCTCTCTCTGCTGGTCTCCCAGCGAGACATTCCTTTTGACAAGCCACATGGAGCTACACTGATGGAGCCAGATCCCTAGAGCTGGAGGAGCCATGTGGAGACCCCTGCCAGAGCTGAGATGTTTTCGCTGCCACTGGATCCACAAGACTTTCCACCACTGGCCTGTTATCTTCCTGCATTTGGTGTCATTGCATGTGTGAAGAGGAATTTATAGAATGGTATTGGACATATTGACTAATATCGGGCTTATGGACTTGATCTAGACTGGGCTGGGATGTTTTCAATATACAATTTCTCTTTTATATAAAGTATTTTGTATACACATATGAGTGTCTACGAATTTGTTTCTGTAGTCCACCCAGATTAACACACATTTTAAAATTTATCTTTTTTTCATGAAGGGTAAATTTTCTTCTATTTTCCACAGAAGATGACATTAAGATGTTGCTTAGCTCTCCTGAAACTTACATGTTTAGATTTGCTAGTTGTATGCCTGACAAACAGTTTTAATGTTGATCTTATTGGCTGATGCTGTGTATATGTTGACAAATCTGGTGATTATACTTATGGTCTCTGGGTTTATCCAAGCAGTATTCTTAAGGTGACATCCAGAAACATAGTTCCTTTGATACAGTGATGCAAGTTTTTGTTAGCTATCATTCATTAATTCATCTGTGGTTCTTGAGAACCTGCTCTGTGCGTGGCCTCGTGTGGGTTTGGGGCACTGTGTGTGCCCATTCAATCTGATACCATCTCAGTAAGGGGGTGTTTTATGACACCATCTAAGTCGAGGGGGTGTTTTATGACAACTTTCAGCAGCTGGCTGTTCTGTTAAAGCATTTCCTCATCTGAGCTGGCCTTTGAAGCTCTCTCTTGAATGTGAAGTAGCTAGAACAAATGGAAGAAATGATGAAATAAAGTAGTTAAGTAGAACATTTCAAAGGACAGCTTAGAAAACAAAGTAAAGTATTATAATGAAATATGCCTAAATGAACCTGGCCTAAAAAGCCAGAAGAGAACAAGAAAATCAGCACATCT